TTGACTACGAGTTTTGTAAAGGTTGTTTGTGGGGTGTTTATCAATCCCCTGATTGACATACGAGTATTGTAAAGGTTGATTGTGGGGTGTGTATCAACCACCTGATTGACTACGAGTTTTGTAAAGGTTGTTTCAACCACCTGATTGACTACGAGTTTTGTAAAGGTTGTTTGACTACGAGTTTTGTACAGGTTGTTTTAACCACCTGATTGACTACGAGTTTTGTTCCGTCTATATATATATATTCATCATCAATACACATACAAAAGCGTAATTGACATGTTTGTTTCAGTGAACGCCAAGTAAGTTAATAGTACGTAAATATACGCCACAGCACAATATCGGATATGCTTGTCAGCCAAGGTATCTTACAATGACATGACAATTTAAACAATACCAATAGATAAGTTTCAACAGCAATAAACATAAAACAAAATCATAACTATGTCGACCTTGTTTTGGGAAGAAACTAAAATCGATGGGATAATTAAAGAAAATGCATGCCTGCTTTTGGCAAGAGTTAACTTTTGTAAAATTCCATGTTTAGGTGGAGTGTTGGGTGTGAAGTGTTATCGGGACGAGCAGGTCGGAGACAGGGAGGGTAACCTGTATTACTGCGATCAACCAGACAAGCCAGAGTGTTGTGAAGAAAACCAAGAATTTACCTGCTGCCAGACGCAGTCCAGTAAAACAATGTAAATATATTCATGTTATCAATCTCTGTAAACGTATTGCATTGTCGGACACAATACTGTAAAGACACTATGTCATTACACCACTGTAGCTCATCGACTGTTATCTGTTTATCAAATCAACGAATTGAAACAAATATAGGTTCCCAACATGCCATTTCACGCTTAAGTAACACGACTTCATGATTCCGTGCCTGACACGTTCTGTGATTAAACATCAACGATGCATGATGTTTTGCAGAAAATAGAATTTGCGAACAAATAATAATTATTGTAGGTGTAGTAAAAGCAATATCACCCATTGTGTTGATCTGACGTCACCCATTGGGCTGATTTGACGTCACACATTGCACTCGTTTATTGCGCCAATACATGTATAAACTTCTCGTGAAACATACTTACGCTTGCAGTACACCAGTACAATCATAGACCTCAGACCCTTGATCAAACACAATACTCAATATATCGCTTTATCGATCACAATCATGGAAACGAGACTGTAATTGTTTAAGTTCAACGGGTAAACCCTTGCCATAGGAAATAGGAGGGAACTTTTCTGTTATTTTCTTCTTTTTATTTGATTTGACGTTGCGAATCACATAACGGTCGATATTTATGACCTGGCATATTTCTGGCGCGTGATGTAATTTGAGTAAGCAAATGAGTAACGTCTTTATAAGAGATAACAAAAGTTTGATCACCACATATTATAAACTATTATGCACCTATTACGCTATTATTCAATAGAGGTGTATGGCCAAATGTTCTATGTGCTGTCATATGTGATGGATTAATGGCATAATCGAATTCATTTCAGATATAACAAGGCATTTTATTTGTCAATGGAATTAAATTGCCACGGCATATTCACGATACACCTCCGCAAATCTCTAAATACAGTGAGGTTATCCCCTTAATGACTACCAAAATAACCTTCTATCTAACAGGAAAGAACAGTTTATCCTGTGGGGTGCGGTCCTCGCTGCGGTCATACTCATTTCTGTACTGCTGTGCTGGTTGTGTAAGGACTGTAATTGTTGCGCCTCGGATAGAAGCGTCAAGGACCGGTGTTGCTGTACCAAAAGGTACGTCATCTATAGGGATTACAGGAAGACAGGTCCTCCCTTGTATAGGGGTAAAGCACTAGGATGTATTCCGCAAATTTTTTTTGCACGCTTGCTATTTTGATGCAAAACGAACCAGTCAACTCTGGGTTGACAGATCAAGTACTCTTCATTCAACTCACTATCTCGGTATATTTTTATTTGCACTTCGTTAAGTACCTACAGGGAATAACATGATTTATTTATGACTCACTTCTGTCAGTACTAAAAAAGATTCAACTTTAACTCACAGCGGAGAACGATACAGTCTAAGTTTACGTTGCTATCAATAAATAATCATGTACATTTAAAATAATAAAACTTTGAAATAAACTACCGTGTCGAAGTTGTCCCAACTCTTTACCATATAGTATGGGGTATACCTATACTGTATAATGGGGAAATTAAAGTAGACTGAAACATACACGGCCAAAAGGTATTCAATTTACATGTTGTAAAGAAAAGGTCTTGTCTGGGTTTGAACTGATGATTTAGTTGCACTAAATAAGTGACAAAATCAATGTTCAGGTTTACATTTGGCATTTACTTTGACTTTGTGAAAGGTGGTGTTTGCTTTGGTAATGGGGCGAGCAATCAATGGCTAGTGTTGTCATATCTATTTGAACTGTAATGAGCCTGTATCATATGTGTAAAGGGTATGGACATAGATCGGTGTTTTTATTTTATTTCGGAAACGTTTTTAGGTCAGTGCTAGGGTTTATCCACGAAACAATGAGACCATTACCATGTTTAATGAGAATTCGTTTTCAGATTGTTTTCATACATATACCTCGTAAAAAAGTACAAAAATATCGCAGCAAAAATAATTAGAATATTCCTCCAAATGATAAGGCCAATTGAAACGTAAAATAGAAAGAGACTATTTCTACGGAGTGCTAAAATGAGCGCCAAAGGTCTGGAATAATAGCAAGAACGTTGCTAAAATGACCTTGTTTTATTTGCTCCTATCTGTTTTATAAATGAGTGGTTGTTTCTGTTCACCCTGGAAACCAATTAAAGCACACTGCAGCTACTACACCTATGTTTCATATTCGTTAATATTTGAGGTTTCCCTTTTCATTAATTTTGCTTCGTTTCCTTTGGACGTGAAGTTTCATCTTGTTAGGCGTGGATTTCTGCAATACACATTTAACGTTTTTTCTTCGCGACTTTGTATAAAATGTCTGATATGAGCTTTAGTCTCTAACAACTGAAAATTCAAAAATGGCTGGAAGAGTTTTGAAACGTGTCTAATTGCACTTTGATTTCTATTAAATTGAGTTATTTGGATATCATTTATGGCCTACTGTGATGGTACGTATTGCTTTGTGTTTGCAGTGAGGATTCTGACAAAGACCCACTGGACGATGAGGAGTATATAAGGAAAAGCCAACCTTATCAGATTTCACCTTTCACAAGGACACTCCCACCCGACGAAGAACTCAAAATCCACCCTGGATCTTCCTCTAGAAGTATGAGGCAGAATTATTAATGCCGGAGAAAGAGCGATGTACTATTTATCCTCTTTTGATATGAACACTGTCTAATAATCGCAATGACGAAGGACCTCTAGAAATTTTAGAGATTTGTAAGGGTCATTTTTATAAGATTGATAACTACGTCTAACTAAATACTCAGGTCGTAAGCAAACAATTTAAAATATTATTTTTGAAAATGCCCTAAAATTTATTATTGTTTCTGGTTTTTTTCTCACTTTTGGATTGTTATTTAAAAAACCCTTAACGTATAAATTTACACTTGAACTTGGTTATTTTAAGCATGTACTTGATTGAAGGGTTATGTTAATCTGTTGCTAACCAGATTAAGTTTTGTAAGACTAGGTCTGGGAAGATAAAAGCCGGAATACCGGAGTCCGGGCTTACAAGGTGTGTCACTACATCGGGAACAAAGACGGTTTTATAGTTTCTGTAAGAAAACACTTGGTGGTAAGTCCTCTTGACATGATCAGTTGGAATAAAGTGACAAACAGTTGAGAAACTATGTGTGATACTGGGGATATGTCCGTATCTCGAACTATGTGATAATGGGGATATGTCCGTATCTCAAACTTTGTATGAAACTGGGGATATGTCCGTATCTCAAACTTTGTGTGATAATGGGGATATGTCCGTATCTCGAACTTTGTGTGATAATGGGGATATGTCCGTATCTCGAACTATGTGATAATGGGGATATGTCCGTATCTCGAACTTCGTGTGATACTGGGGATATGTCCGTATTCCTAACTTTGTGTGATAATGGGGATATGTCCGTATCTCGAACTTTGTGGGATAATGGGGATATGTCCGTATCTCGAACTTTGTGTGATACTGGGGATATGTCCGTATCTCGAACTTTGTGTGATACTGGGGATATGTCCGTATCTCGAACTTTGTGTGATACTGGGGATATGTCCGTATCTCGAACTTTGTGTGATACTGGGGATATGTCCGTATCTCGAACTTTGTGTGATAATGGGGATATGTCCGTATCTCGAACTTTGTGTGATAATGGGGATATGTCCGTATCTCGAACTTTGTGTGATACTGGGGATATGTCCGTATCTCGAACTTTGTGTGATAATGGGGATATGTCCGTATCTCGAACTTTGTGTGATAATGGGGATATGTCCGTATCTCGAACTTTGTGTGATACTGGGGATATGTCCGTATCTCGAACTTTGTGTGATAATGGGGATATGTCCGTATCTCGAACTTTGTGTGATAATGGGGATATGTCCGTATCTCGAACTTTGTGTGATACTGGGGATATGTCCGTATCTCGAACTTTGTGTGATAATGGGGATATGTCCGTATCTCGAACTTTGTGTGATAATGGGGATATGTCCGTATCTCGAACTTTGTGTGATACTGGGGATATGTCCGTATCTCGAACTTTGTGTGATAATGGGGATATGTCCGTATCTCGAACTTTGTGTGATAATGGGGATATGTCCGTATCTCGAACTTTGTGTGATAATGGGGATATGTCCGTATCTCGAACTTTGTGTGATAATGGGGATATGTCCGTATCTCGAACTTTGTGTGATAATGGGGATATGTCCGTATCTCGAACTTTGTGTGATAATGGGGATATGTCCGTATCTCGAACTTTGTGTGATAATGGGGATATGTCCGTATCTCGAACTTTGTGTGATAATGGGGATATGTCCGTATCTCGAACTTTGTGTGATAATGGGGATATGTCCGTATCTCGAACTTTGTGTGATAATGGGGATATGTCCGTATCTCGAACTTTGTGTGATAATGGGGATATGTCCGTATCTCGAACTTTGTGTGATAATGGGGATATGTCCGTATCTCGAACTTTGTGTGATAATGGGGATATGTCCGTATCTCGAACTTTGTGTGATAATGGGGATATGTCCGTATCTCGAACTTTGTGTGATAATGGGGATATGTCCGTATCTCGAACTTTGTGTGATAATGGGGATATGTCCGTATCTCGAACTTTGTGTGATAATGGGGATATGTCCGTATCTCGAACTTTGTGTGATAATGGGGATATGTCCGTATCTCGAACTTTGTGTGATAATGGGGATATGTCCGTATCTCGAACTTTGTGTGATAATGGGGATATGTCCGTATCTCGAACTTTGTGTGATAATGGGGATATGTCCGTATCTCGAACTTTGTGTGATAATGGGGATATGTCCGTATCTCGAACTTTGTGTGATAATGGGGATATGTCCGTATCTCGAACTTTGTGTGATAATGGGGATATGTCCGTATCTCGAACTTTGTGTGATAATGGGGATATGTCCGTATCTCGAACTTTGTGTGATAATGGGGATATGTCCGTATCTCGAACTTTGTGTGATAATGGGGATATGTCCGTATCTCGAACTTTGTGTGATAATGGGGATATGTCCGTATCTCGAACTTTGTGTGATAATGGGGATATGTCCGTATCTCGAACTTTGTGTGATAATGGGGATATGTCCGTATCTCGAACTTTGTGTGATAATGGGGATATGTCCGTATCTCGAACTTTGTGTGATAATGGGGATATGTCCGTATCTCGAACTTTGTGTGATAATGGGGATATGTCCGTATCTCGAACTTTGTGTGATAATGGGGATATGTCCGTATCTCGAACTTTGTGTGATAATGGGGATATGTCCGTATCTCGAACTTTGTGTGATAATGGGGATATGTCCGTATCTCGAACTTTGTGTGATAATGGGGATATGTCCGTATCTCGAACTTTGTGTGATAATGGGGATATGTCCGTATCTCGAACTTTGTGTGATAATGGGGATATGTCCGTATCTCGAACTTTGTGTGATAATGGGGATATGTCCGTATCTCGAACTTTGTGTGATAATGGGGATATGTCCGTATCTCGAACTTTGTGTGATAATGGGGATATGTCCGTATCTCGAACTTTGTGTGATAATGGGGATATGTCCGTATCTCGAACTTTGTGTGATAATGGGGATATGTCCGTATCTCGAACTTTGTGTGATAATGGGGATATGTCCGTATCTCGAACTTTGTGTGATAATGGGGATATGTCCGTATCTCGAACTTTGTGTGATAATGGGGATATGTCCGTATCTCGAACTTTGTGTGATAATGGGGATATGTCCGTATCTCGAACTTTGTGTGATAATGGGGATATGTCCGTATCTCGAACTTTGTGTGATAATGGGGATATGTCCGTATCTCGAACTTTGTGTGATAATGGGGATATGTCCGTATCTCGAACTTTGTGTGATAATGGGGATATGTCCGTATCTCGAACTTTGTGTGATAATGGGGATATGTCCGTATCTCGAACTGTGTGATAATGGGGATATGTCCGTATCTCGAACTTTATGTGATAATGGGGATATGTCCGTATCTCGAACTTTGTGTGATATATAATACTTTTTTGTATCTCACCTGGCCCTAAGAGCCAAGTGATCTAATGCCGTGGCACAGCGACCGTCGTCGTCGTATTTTTTTTTAACCCTTTCACCCCTTAGTAACTTAAATAGACTCTACTATACATTTATCTGGATGAGTCCATTATGGTCTACAGTGGTGAAAGGGTTTAACAATTTCTTCTACAATTTTTCCCCCCTTTAGCTGGTAGCTTCCTTGGGTGGTGTCGTACAAAGTTTGCGAACAAAAATGACTTTGACCTACTTTAAAGGTCGCAGGTGTCAAATGTGTCTAAAACTTGTAACGACTTCGTTTGAAGAACCGAAAGACCTATAGCCGTTTAAATATGCTCTTTTGATGGAGCCCAAAAAAGTTAACAAACCAAAATGACATAGACCAATTTTCAAGGTAACAAGGGTAAAAGATGTCAAATTTGAACTCATTTTCTTCTGAAGAACCCATACATGTGGTAAACGTGTATGGTATTCAACAGGTATTTAATCAAAATGACAAATAACGTGTGAGCTATTAGGCCCCTGGGCCACTTGTTTTGTTTATAAGCATCTATATATTTATGGAAACTGTTGAACAATTACTGCTGATTAAATTGCTACAGAAAGGTATTCCTTCAATATTCCGTAGAACCGTCCATGTGTGTTTTATGTGATATTGTGTTGTTCTTTAACTGACAAACACATATTTATTTAGTGACAAAGAGTATTTATGTTTTGACGCGTGTGTGTGCTAAATTTTTATGCTTAAATGTAATGATATATTATTCTGCTGAAATGACATGAACCAACGCAGTTCATTCTTAGTTGTGTCTGGACAATGACATTATTATATGTAATAGAATAACGAGGGAACGAGTTCGATCATGAGTTAACTTCACAAACAGTCGTGTTAGACGCATAGAGTGTGCAACTTAAACTTCTCAGAATATGAGTTAAATTTTATCAAAACTTTAAAAGATGTAAAGAGAACTGAGAACGAAACATTTACATCGAGCTTCACTTCCTTAAGGATCCCTGTCCCCCTATATACAGGTATTCCTATANAGGATCCCTGTCCCACTACATACAGGTATTCCTATATACAGGAACCTCTCCTTTACTTCCTTAAGGATCCCTGTCCCACTATATACAGGTATTCCTATATACAGTAACCTCTCTTTTACTTCCTTTAGGATCCCTGTCCCACTACATACAGGTATTCCTATATACAGGAACCTCTCCTTTAATTCCTTAAGGATCCCTGTCCTACTATATAAAGGTATTCCTATATACAGTAACCTCTCTTTTACTGCCATAAGGATCCCTGTCCCACTACATACAGGTATTCCTATATACAGGAACCTCTCCTTTACTTCCTTAAGGATCCCTGTCCTACTATATACGTGTATTCTAGGGTTGAAATACCGGCGTAAACCACTCAATTCGTACACTCAGAGCACTGTTGTTGATTCCATTTTGTATGTTTCATCTTTATTAGTTCTCTTCAAATTCTTTATCAAAGCTATAGTCATACTGGAAAAATGCGTTTCCAACACTGGGTTACAGGTTTTGGGTAGGCGTTCGGGGATCCTTAACTTAAACTTAACAACAGTCAGGATTGTATTATAAAGCAACAAACGTCACGCTTCCACAATTGGTGCGCTACCCTAATTGGTACATAGTCAGTAAATGGTTCGGATAGTACCTGTTGTTTTTTAAATTGAGCATTTCACTCCAACAGTATAACAAAATAGATATTTATCAGCATTTCCACTGAATAGTTTTGTTTTCAGGAACATTTTAAGATTTCACAATGA